GATCAACAGCGCTCACTTGGTGATATCCATCCGGTAAGTCAAGTTTGGTGAAACAACCACCACCATTTCGTATTGCGAAGATATCTTCTGGTATCGGGAGTGCATATTGATAATCTTTTTGTGAGGCTTTCAGACGCGTTGAAAATTGGCACATTTGCGCACCTTGTCATTACGTATCTTGACGACCAAAATAGAAGCTGCACAGTCTGGCATTTGACTGACTGATACTCTTGGTCTATGGTCCGATGTCCGTAAACTGGAACGCGTGGGTGATATGTTGACGTCACCACGGAGGGCTGACTCACCATAGTCGTGATCCGTAACCCATAGCTCCTTCAAGTACGGTCCCCGTTGAGTAACTGACCCGATTAATGACACCAAATTGTTGCATTCGATCTGGTCGAGCGTCGACTGTCTCGATGGCGGCAGAACTACGAATCCAGGACCTTTGAATAAACGCCGACGCGTTCTGACGGTGGCGGCTGATCCCAATCCATGTTGAATGCAAATCCCTAGAATTCTGAGGGGAATTTCAGGCTTCCCCTGACAAACTCATTTTGTAGTTGGTCTGATGATTCAGGAAAGATTCATATAATGAATTAAACAACAATGAATAAAACCACAGCAAAGTGAACGCAAAAGTGAGTAAACCATGTTCGATCAGTTGCTCAAGTGACCACTCTCTCAAGCGCTGACCACGCAAATCGAGAAACACATGACTTCACACGGAAACACGTCACGCAAAAACTAACTGCTAAATGCGTTCAGTCAAAAGAGCTCTGTCAGAATCTCGAATTCGAACGCGTCATTATTCTTGAGGTTCAGCGCCTAAGGCCATTTTCAGAGCAAGTTGATTTTGTGAACACTTCGAGTAAGCAAGTGAGTCGAACATCATACACGTGGTCCCAGATTCCATCTCACATCAATAACAGCAATAATCCCCAAAGAGCTTGAAGTCACATTCAGTCAGCCCAAATGAACTCGTAAGGAGGGAATGTGACGGATCAAAAGTAAAGAGGAATCATGACGTGAGCTATGATTCAACGTGAATGGAGTAAGCACTTAC